TAACATTCTCGGAGACAAAATTTTGATTCTAATGGGCTTTAGTGAAATATTGCTAGGCTAAACTTAGGCTTGGTCAAACTAAACTGATGGGAAATTTAAATTAAAATATCTATTTCTTCAGACATCTCTCTTTAATGTTTTTCTCATTCAGTATGCCATGGGTGGCTGGAGGGATACACTAGGAGTCTGGGATTAACACACATACACTGCTACTGCTGCTGCTAAGTCACTTCAGTCGTGCCCAACTCTGTGCGACTCCATAGACGGCAGCCCACCAGGCTCCCCCGTCCCTGGGATTCTCCAGGCAAGAACACTGGAGTGGGTTGCCATTTCCTTCTCCAATGCATGCATGCTAAGTCGTTTCAGTCTTGCCCGACTCTGTGCGACCCTATGGACAGCAGCCCACCAGGCTCCTCTGTCCACGGGATTCTCTGGGCAAGAACACTGGAGTGGGATGCCATTTCCTTCTCCCTATGCACATGCTAGTATACATAAATAGATAATCAACAAGGACCTACCATACAGCACAAGAACTCAACTCAATATTCTGTAATAACCTAAATGGGAAAAGTATCTGAAAAAGAATGGGCATATGTACATGTATAACTGAATCACTTTGTTGTACACCCGAAGCTAACACAATATTGTAAATCACCTATACTCCAGTAAAAATAAATTATTACTGAAATAGAATTCAGTAAGCCAAACAGAACAAAAAGAAAAAAATTATTATAAATGCAAGCGATTTAGAAAATAAAACAAGGCTTCTTTCTTAAATTTGAAATTCAAGCTTAGACATGGTCAAGGTGACAAATTATTTGTTTGCAAAAATGGTATTTTCAGCATTTGTTAGCTTTAAACAATGATCTGGCTTTTAGGCTGCCCCCATGTGTTCTAATGACATCAGAATTTGTCCAAACTGTGCACCGGGATCTCTTCTCCTCTACCCCCATTTAAAATAATGTGTGAATTTTCAATCAATACAAAAAAAGAAACTGAACTTCAAGTCAGAAGAACTTGTAGATGACTGAGGTTTCTTACATACTATTGTATAAATTTTTAAATCTAATTATTTTCTTCATTTCTTTTTCCTTCAATTTTTTTCAACAAATTAGTGGAGGCAATTATATTTGTTGTAATTAACTCACAGGGATGTGATGATCAAATAATTTAATATATGGGATGTTCTCAGTCACTCAGTTGTGTCCAACTCTGCGATCCCACAGACTGTAACCCACCAGGCTCCTCTGTCCATAGAATTCCCCAGGCAAGAATACTGGAGTGGCTTGCCATTTTCTCCTCCAGGGGAATATACGGGATAGCACAATAAAATACCAACTTTACCATTCACACACTTCCCTGGTAGCTCAGCTGGTAAAGAATCTGCCTGCAGTGCAGGAGACCCTGGTTCGATCCCTGGGTCTGGAAGATCCCCTGGAGAAGGAAATGGCAATCCACTCCAGTATTCTTGGGCTTCCCTGGCAGCTCAGATAGTAAAGAATTCACCTGCAATGCGGGAGACCTGGGTTCAATCCCTGGGTTAAGATCCCCTTCCCCTGGGCTAGGAAGATCCCCTGGAGAAGGGACCAGCTACCCACACCCGTACTCTTGCCTGGAGAATTCCATGGACGGAGGAGCCTGGCAAGCAACACAGTCCATGGGGTTGCAAAGAGTCAGACATGACTGAGCGACTTTCACTTTCAACTTTACCATCCACACAATCAGTTCAGTTCAGTTCAGTCATTCAGTCATGTCCGACTCTTTGCGACCTCATGGACTACAGCACACCAGGCCTCCCTGTCCATCACCAACTCCTGGAGTTTGCTTAAACTCATGTACATTGAGTTGGTGATGCCATCCAACCATCTCATCCTCTGTCATCCCCTTCTCCTCCCACCTTGAATCTTTCCTACTATGGGGTCTTTTCAAATGAGTCAGTTCTTCACATCAGGTGGCCAAAGTATTACCAATATAAGTCAGATCAACTTTCCTTCTGTAAGAGGTAACTGCTGCATTGTAGTATAATGTGCTACAGCAATACAACACATTTTGTCAGTCTGGGATTCTATTCTGTTTTCATAAACCCTAGTGATGTGGCCTTGGCAAATCAAATAAACCTTTTGTAAAAGACATGATGAAAGAATCTCTTCCTAAACTTTTAGATCTAAAAAAAAAGAAAGAAACTTGTTTGTTTGTTTTTTAGATTTTGTGTGTTTGTTTTTTCCCTTGAACTGGATTACTAATCAGAAAACAGATTTTGGGCCTACTATACAACTAACATGGAAACATTTCATGTTTCCATAGCTTAGCTTCCTTCTTTGAGACACCTTCCAGCTTTAATAAACAGTGGTTTTAAGAAAACTGTAATGTAATCCACATAATTTATTGCACATTTAAAGATGAAAATATTCAAAGTAAAAACTAGTTGGAGCTTTCGCAGAGGTAAGGTAATATAGAGTAATAACTCAAAAACACATAAACAATTCCTTTAAAAAAAACCATCCTTCAAAATTTCAACAGTGTATGAATCAAATAAGATCAATTTCTACAGAATAGTTTGATTAAACTTTCAGTTAATTATATCTTTGATTCATTAAACATTTTAAAATATAAAGGCCCACACAAAACATATATTCTTTAACTAACTTGATATATTAAAAAATGTTTTTGTTTTATCTGTCCAATTGTTGGAGCATCAAATTGCTTTTATAATTCCTAAGAGAAACAATGATTTATAATCACTAACTTAATTTTATTAAATACTGAAAACATATCAGATTTAGACAACACAAATCTTGATTTATAACAATTTGATTTTTCCTCTTTATTTCCATTTTCTTGAAAAGTTTGTAGAGTATCCAATCATCAATTATTTAAATTTTGTGGAGAACTAGTACAATGAATATAATTTCTACACAGTTTTTAAATTTTAGTTTACTTTTTGCATATCACTATATATGACTTCCAATTAAATACTTCAGGAAGAAACTGTACTTCTTGTAGTAAATGAAATAGGGGTGAAACTTAACTATTTTTATATTAATAAGGATGCTCATAAAATAGCTGAATTATCACACTGCTGCATCTTGGCGAATAAACAGTAATATTCAAAAGGTTTATAGCTGCAGCTGGTGTTAATTCTATATTAACATTTTTACAGACTACTACAAGATACAGAGCAATTTCATGGCAGCTCATTTGCTCTTCAAAAGGTCATTTTACAATCGTGCAGAAGAAATAATTTTAAGGAGTTATTGGCATAAAGTATTTCTAATATTTTAGAAAATGCCTCATCTGTTTAATAGATATATAATCCTGATTCAAGCACCACTGTATTGATCAGCAAAACTGGATTTAGAGCAAGCACTCTCCTATCAAAAACGTCTGTATTTTATTGAAATGTTGGATTCACACAGCTCACCATTTCCATTCTAAAGACCTTAGGTGGTAGACCAGATGGTGTAGAAAGTGAGTCCCCAGTTTGTTCGATTTTCAAATGCTTCACACTTTGACCCAAACTAAGTGACAATATATACTTTTAAGCTTTAAAAATTCTTCCTGCAGTTCTTATTGTCCTTTTCGTGCATTAGGATAGAAAGGAATGACTTAGTGGTACTTTGACTGTGTTTGGCTCCACTGACAGAGGAGCAGCTTCAGGCGAGGCTTAGAAGCCTTTGTAAGAGCCCTCTGCTAATCCCCAGGAAAGGGAGGTTTAAGAGGAAATGCCTGTGGAGTTGGCTCTATTTCCTTACGGAATATAAATATTAACACTTCAAGTCTCTAGATGGCAGCCTTCAACACGTTTGAAAAGCGGTGTCCATCCACCCCGACTCCAGTCCCACCTCCATCGCGGCTACTCGGCAACATAGTATCAGCTCCGTGTCTGCTGTAGCCGGTGCACAGCGGATTTAGGTGCTCTCCAAGAATTCGAGTTCAAAATGTTTATTCCAGAGCCTGACACTCGGCTAGAAGCTGCCTAGGTGTTTGCTTGGGGAAAATGAGGAAGTAAGGGATGACAGAATAGTCCACACGAAGCCCCTTCTGCCTCGGAAAGGTGGGGCTGTGCGGGCGGCAGAGAGACACCTGCATCCGCGAACAGCAGCTTCCTCTCCTCCAGGAGCAGGATGGACGCTCCGCGCGAGCAGAAAGAGCGCAAAAGCCCACCTGCCCGGCTGGCGGAACCCCACCAGCGCGACGGCCTCAATTCACCCCTGAGGTTTACGCGGGTAGAAATACTAAAATCTGTTTCCTAAATGCGGAAAGAACTGAGTCTGAACCGAGCGCGGAGCACAGGCAAAGCGAGGAGACAGGACGGAACGCACATCAGGGAAAACGTGTTGTTCCCCACCTGGGCAGCGCCTAAGGTGGCCTCCGCCACCTCCCGGCGTGCGGACCCCAGGGCTGGGGTAGTCGGGGAACGCTCGAGGCCAGACACGCTAAGGAGCCTGGCAGGAGGTGTGGGGCCGACTGGGGCGGACCGAGGTCCTTTAGGGACCAGGTCGCCGGCGGGCGCAGTCTAGGTCGGTCGGGAGTTAGAGGCAATCGCCCCCACCTCGACCTCCCCGCCAGCAACCGCAGACACTCGCCTAGGGGGTCCGCAGGGTCGGGATGTAGGGGTGCTTTACCCCAGTCCTGCTCCCTTCCTGTTTCCATCCCTACCTTGGAGCCGCTCTCCCCTCAAGGCGCAAAACCTCTCCGGGCCCCGGGTGCGCAGAAAGTCCGGCTCCTGGCTTCCCGGGGCCCCCGCCCTGGAGGCGGACACGCGCTCTCCCCCACCCCGTGCGGCTCCGGCGCGCAGGCTCACCCAGCAGCGCTCCCCCGTGGGCTAGTGGACCGGGACCGCGGAGCTCCTCGCGCCCCCGCAGCCGGACTTCCTGTAAGTTCCGAGTCCTCCGTGTCCTGGGGAGCCCCGCGCCCCCGGGGCAAGGTCGCCCCCGACTCGGAGCAGAGAACCGAGTTGGATGCGCGTCAGCTTGGGCAGAGGGGAAAGCGGCTCTTACCTTGGTGCGGAGAGCGGGGAGCTGCCATCCATTGTCTGGGGGCGCGTCGAGAGAGGCAAGACGGAAAGTGCGCGCGAGGGACGGGAAGTCTGCGGTGCTAGGACCCGGTTCCCAGAGCGCCGAGACGGACGCGCGCGGGCAGCGAGGCGCGCGGGCTGAGACCACCGCGGCGCGGGGCGGTCGGAGCCGCGCTCCTCCCTGGCAGGGGAGCGTTGAACCCCGCGGCCGTCAAATAGTCTCCTCCCAGTCGTCCCTTCTGAGCTTGCAAGTGCGCTTGGCCAAAGCTCCAAGCGGTCTACCCAGCTTCTGCCCTCCTGCAAGGCAGCCCGGGTCTCGGTAGCCAGAGGCGCCTTACGAGCTTTCCCTGTGACTCCGGCAGATCCCTCTCTCCCCGCCTCACAATCCCGTTCCCTCGTCTCTCGGGTAAAGCCGTCTGAGCCCTGAAGTTGTTCATCCACTTTGCCACATTCAGGCTCAACTCCTGCCCATGCCCCCCATCCCCCACTGGTCGCTCACCATTCCTTTGAACTGCCTCCCTGAATTTTAGTTCTGTTTGTCTTCTACCAAGGCATGGTTCATCGCTCAGAGCAATGCTCTTTGATCTACCAGCTGCTTTTGCCTTTACCTGGACTAGATTTGATTCTCAGAATTCTGCATCGAACTCATTTTGCTTAATTGTGACTCATTCATACCTCATCTGTGTGCGCAGAGATTTCAGAAGCTTTGACAGTGGTCATCCGTCAGAGGCCAGCATCCAGACAACCCCCCACCCCCACACACACACAATCTGTAAATGTCTGCTTCAGTGTCTCCTTGAGCAAAAAATGACACTGGTTTTAAGAAGGAAGACATTGATGATTGCAAATGACTGTTAAAATGAAGATACTCTTGATTCTGCTTCATTTTCATTAAAATTAAAAAAAAAAAATTTAAAAGAAAGCTATGGGACTTCCTGGCTTCCCAGGTGGCGCTAGTGGTAAAGAACCCGCCTGTCAGTGCAGGATACAGAAGACACGCGGGTTCCATCTCTGGGTGGGGAAGATCCCCTGGAGAAGGAAATGACAACCCACTCCAGTATTCCTGCCTGGAGAATCCCATGGACAGAGAAGCCTGGGGATCGCAGTCCATGGGGAGTCTCAAAGAATCAGACACGACTGAAGCGACTTAGCACATAGGACAAAGGGGAAGATGGTGGACATGCATTTGGCCCTCCTCCTGGTAGCCACAGATAAAAGCTCTGGAGATTGTAAAACAAGCATAATAAGACCAAAAGTTGGACAGAAGAAAGTTGACAAACGAGACTTTGAAACTCAAGGAATGGCATGATAGTGAGTTCCAATCTTTTTGTTTGTTTGTTTTTCTTTATCTCTCTTTTTTTTCTTTCTTTATCTCATGTTGCAGACCTGGAACTGAAGTAGCTGAACAAAACCAGAACTGTCCATGAGTGCAGACCAAAAAATGCCTCCTCTTTTTAGACAAAGGACCAAGAAAGGGACAGCCCAGCAGACAGAAAATTGTCTGGCAGAACATCAAATTAAAAAAAAATCCTGTGGTCTCTCTCAACCATGCCATCAAAGGCCAAGTGTGGCCCCTAAATTTGTTGTACTGTTTTCACCTCCAGAAGGATGTATCAGCCCTTCTCCTTGCCTTTGTGTCCCTGAAGCTTATACTTCGCTGCCACATAGCAGCAACCTGTCCCTCTCCCACTCAGCACTGGGGGAGTTTAAGAGGAGCCAGGGTGGAGAGTCAGAGCTTCCCCCACTGCCTGGAGGTAATGAAGCCACTTGGGAATTGATACCTAGGCACTCACACCACTCCCAGTATCAATGGAGGTTTAATGGAGAATCTTGAACCCCCAGTGTGTGCCTAGCAGCAAGGGGAACACCCCTCCTCTTAGGTGTTGAAGGAAGTTATGAGGACACCCTGAATTCTATCCCCTAACTTACTCCCCTCACCTCCCCCCAGGCAGTAATGAGGCAGTACTTCCCACTTGCCCCTCCATCCTGCAGGAGCGCTGTTGAGAGATGCCCATTATAAGGAGAAATGAGATTTAGTCTCCCAGATAGTACCCTAAATGTACAGGCTTAATAGAAAATTACTCATCTTGCCAAGAACAAGAAGATTTCAAACAGAATGTTTTTGAAAAATCAGGAAGATAACAAAGATGTCTCCAATTATCTGACAAAGACTTTGAAGTAGCCATAATAAAAATGCTTCAGTAAGTGATTACAAACACACTTGAAAAAAATTGGAGAAATAGAAAAAGAAAGAGAGGTAAGGGAAGGAGGTAAGAAGGGAGAGAAGGAGAAAGAAAAGAAGAAATGAAGTCTTCCAGGAAAATAGAACACATACATAAAAAAATGGAAAAATTTAGAACTGGAAAATATAGTAATCAAAATGCAACACTAACAATGATTTTAACAGCATAATAAAGTGAAAAGAAGAGAAAATCAGTAAGCTGGAATATAGAGCAATGTAAATTATCCAATTTGAACAAAAGAGAGAATATGGTCTAAGAAAAGAAAGGAAAAAAACAGAATCCCAAGAACATGTGAAGAAAAACAGTTGAAAAAAATATCCGCAAATTTGGCAGAAGACTTCAAGCTATAAGTTCAAGAAGTGGAGCAAAATCCCAATGTAATAAACACAAATAAATCTAATAAAGATATATCATAGTCAAACGTCTCAAAATTAAAGACGAAGGCAAAATATTAAAGCAATTGCAGAGAAACATCACCTTACCCTTCAGGGTTGTTGCTGTTGTTCACTCACTAAGTTGTGTCTGACTCTTTGCAACCCAAACAGTAGTCTGCCAGGCTGCTCTGTCCATGGGATTTTCCAGGCAAGAATTCTGGAGTGGGTCGCTGGTCCCTTCTCCAGGGGATCTTCCTGGACCAGGAATCAAACCCGCATCTCTTGCATTGGCAAGTGAATTCTTTACCAGAGACACCCGGGAAACTCACCGATAAGGAAAAACAGTACAAATCAATAGCAAATTTCTTGTCAGAAACCACGGAGGCAAGAAGTAGTGCAACAACATTTTAAAACTGCTGAGGAAAAGAACTATCAACACAAAATCTTGTGTCTAGTAAAAATATTCTTCAGAAATGAAGGTGAAATCAAGACATTCTTAGATGAGGGAAGACTAAGAAAATTGGTCATCAGTGCTGGTGGTGGTGGTTTAGTCATTACATCATGTCCAACTCTTGCAACCCCATGGATGGTAGCCCACCAGGCTCCTCTGTCCATAGGATTTTCCAGGCAAGAATACTGGAGTGAGTTGCCGCTTCCTTCTCTAGGTGATCTTCCCAACCCAAGGATTGAACTCGGGTCTCCTGCACTGGGGTAGATTCTTTACCAACTGAGCTACCAGGGAAGCCCAAAGAGGTTCTCCAAATAGAAAAGAGACTATAAGGAAGGTATCTTGTAATATCAGGGAAAAAATCCAATACAAAATACAGTAAGCAGTAGCATGATAAAAAACAATAGGTTTCCTTTCTCCTCTTGGGTTTTCTAAATCATATTTGACAATAAAGCAAAAATTATAACAATGAATGATGCATTTCTAAATATATGTAGGGAAACATTTAAGACAATGGTATTATAAAGGGGAGAAAATAAAGGGACATAAGAGTCATAAGTTTTCTACACTTTGTTCAAACTGGTAGGTTGCCATTCTGTTTTCCACGGCATCTTCCTGACCCCGGGGTTGAACTTGGGTCTCTTGCATTGTAGGCAGATTCATTACCATCTGAGTCACCAGGGGAGTCCAAATTAATACCACAGAAGACTTTAATAAGTGATATGTATTTAATGCAATATGTAAAGAAATCACTAAGAAAAAGCCACACAAATAACTATGCTCAAAATACTATGGGTATTGAATAAATAATAAATAAAAATAAATAAATAAATAAAATTGAAATCAATAATATGAAGTAACCCACAGTAAGGCAGAGAGAAAGAGAATAGAAACAAATAGAAAAAACAAATTTTAAAAAATACAAAAGAATAGTTTTAAGCTCTAATATATCAATGATCGGGCTTCACAGGTGGTGCTAGTGGAAAGAATATGCCTGCCAATGCAGGAGACCCAGGTTTGATCCCTGGGTCGGGACGATCCCCTGAAGGAGGGCATAGCAGCCCACTCCAGTGATCTTTCCTGGAGAATTCCATGGACAGAGGAACTGGTGGGCTGCAGTCGATGGGGGTCGCAAAGAGTCTGACATGACTGATGCGACAGCATGCATACTTGCACATATCAATGATTACATGAAATGTGAATGATCTAAATATCAATTAAAAGAAAAAAATGGCAGAATGGATTAAAATCATTCAATTATATGCTGTATATAAGAAATTACTTTCAAATATAGCTATATAAGAAAGTTGGAAAAAGGTGTATCATGCTAATATTATTCAAAAGAAAGCATGAGTAGCTGTATTAATATCAGATACAGTAGATCTCAGAGCAAAGAGAAGTACTAGAGACAGACGGGGAGATTACTCAATGATAAAGAAGTCTTTCTAAACTATACAGCTACGTGTAAGAGAATGAAATTAGAACACTTCCTAACACCATATACAAAAATAAACTCAAAATGGATTAAAGACCTAAATGTAAGACCAGAAACTATAAAACCCTTAGGGGAAAACATAGGCAGAACACTCGAAGACTTAAATCAAAGCAAGCTCCTCTATGACCCGCCTCCTAGAGTAATGGAAATAAAAGCAAAAGTAAACAAGTGGAATCTGATTAAACTTAAAAGCTTTTGCACAGCAAAGGAAACTATAAGCAAGGTGAAAAGACAGCCCTCAGAATAGGAGAAAATAATAGCAAATGAAGCAACTGACAAAGGATTAATTTCCAAAATACACAAGCAACTCTTGCAGCTCAATACCAAGAAAACAAATAACCCAATCAAAAGGTGGGAAAAAGACCTAAACAGACATTTCTCCAAAGAAGACATACAGATGGCTAACAAACACATGAAAAGATGCTCAACATCGCTCATTATTGGAGAAATGAAAA